TGATGGAGGGCATTGGGGTAGTGTTTGTGGTTTTACTGCTGACTGTTTCTGTACTTGAGAAGGTTGAAGAAGACAGCATAGGTGTGGATGATGTGAATGTATACGTGGTCGTGGGAACAGGGGTGCTGGCTGTTGTAGAATGAACTGTACTTGTGGGAGTGATTGATGAAGTGAGTGGGGACATAGAAGAAACTTCTGTAGTGACCTTGTGTGTGGTTGTGAGAGTGGGAGTTGTTAGAAAACCTGTGGTACTGGTGCTGGCTGTTTCTGAAGTTGGGAGAGTTGTAGGAGTGGGTGTGGTGGAGGTGGTGGTTATGGATGTGTCAGTGGAAGTGATCAGAGAGGTGATTTCTGTGGTAGCCATGGTGGGAGAAGTACTTGGAGATTTAGAACCTGTTGTGAAAGATGTAGGTGTAGATGTGGCATCAGTGGTAAGGAGTGTGGAACTTCTGGAGGACAGTGGGGAAGTGACTTGGGAGGTAGAAGCAAGTTCTGTAGTGACAGTCTGTGTGGTTGTCTGTGTAATACAGTTTGTTGTGGGATACGTTGTGGTGATTATGAGTGTTGTTGGATTAGTGCACTCAGTACTCGACATATATACAATGGTGGTAGTTGGAATTGTTCCTACCTTGACAACAAACTTTAACAAAGGGTTTTGTGTGTTGGAATTGGTTGGAGATTTGATCAATGCTTCAAAAGTGGGCTTAACCCTGGGGAATGTGGTAACAGTCATATGTTTGCTTTTCCTAGTGCCTAGAGAGAGAGAAGCAGTTCGTGGAGTACTTGGTAGCAACTCTCTTGTCCCTTTGGAGGTTGGGTAATCACTGAGAACAGTGGACGCTGCTTCAGCTCTTGACAAAAGTATGTTAGTGGTAGATGTGGCTGTGGATAAAGTTCCTGTATTGATGGTAGAACAAAGAAATTTATTGGTGATCTTACAGTCCATTGTTTTTCACCATACAGTATTACATAGGTTTGTCAGTACCACATTTCCTAGATATGCTATATCTTATTCTCCCATCAGAGGCAATTTGAAGCTGAGGGCTTTGGGTTCTGAAGCACCTCGCCCCCCGCCCCATTTCTCTGCTCCTGGAGCATGTTCTCCAAGAGGAGAGGTGGGAATTGTCCTCAGTTCCTTGCTCAGCCTATCTGGTGGCTGACCTCCCTGCCCTCGAATGGCCAAGGTGAGGATAAACGTTCAATGAGACTCCCCTTTCCTCCTGCCGCACCCATCCCTTCCTTCTCAGCACTCTCTCTACGTCACTCTCCGTTCCACTTGGTCTGCTTGTAGTTCTTTCAGCGCTTTTGGCTTCTTGTCCCACTTCTGCCTCCCCCCAGCGACCTATTGCTGTCTAGGCTGACTCTTCTGCAGAGAAATAACTGGGGCAGGACCAGGGCCAGAGGCATAGGGTGAAGATTACAGTGAGAGGAACAGACGCTCGGAGTCTGGGAGAGGAAGACCAGTGACCAGAGTATGAGAGAGTCAGCGTTAGACACAGAGAGAAGTTCGAGGGGACAGACCAGGAGAACAAGGGGTCAGAGAGGAGAAAGGAACATGAAGAACACCAGAGGAAAAGATACGGAAGCACAGTGTCTACCGAGATTGGGATCATAGAGAGGACAATGCTGAGAGGCTGAGGACAGGACAGAGAAGGAAACTTCTAGAAAGGGATACCTCCATAGGCAAGTATAGGTCCAGGAGTCCTTAAGGTTTAGGCGTGAGCCACTCGATTAGTTAGTTTACAGACATTAACCCCCTTGCACTAAGATGGTGAGAATCAGGCTCAGGTATGGTCTGTTGGGGGTGAGTGCCTGGGAAGCCTCAGGCAGGCACTGTTGTTGCAAGCAGGAAGCACCTCTGGCCTCTTCCCCCTCCCCTGAGACACTGCTCAGGCTTTCTCTGAAAGCTGAGGTTTCACTGCTCAGGCCAGCTCGGGGGTGTCGGGGGTCTGGGGAGGAGAGGGTTATGAGGATTCCTGGGCCCTGCAGGACATGAAAGGATGAACGGTGGGCTCTAGGTTGAGAAGGTCTAGGATTGGAGATTGGGAATGGATGCTGGAAAGCAGAGGAAAGGGCAACGGGGGTTCAAGAGGGGAGGCCCTGGACCCCCCCTGGGTGATCTCAGACCTTGCCTTTGGGGGCAAAGTCGACTTTAGGATCCTGCCCTCAGCCCTGCTGACAACAGCTGTGCTGTGGAGGCTCCCCTTTCCCCCTGCCACACCCATCCCTTCCTCCTCAGCACTCTCTCTACCTCAGAGGTGGGCCCTGGTGGGGGCTGGGAGAAATGAGGGCAGAGCAGTGGGGTGGGGACCAGGGGAGCAAAGGCAGAGAAGCTCAAGGGAAAGGAAGAAGACCAGAGAAAGAGGAGACTCTGGAGAAGACAAAAGGTGGCACTGACGGAAGTGAGGGGAAGGAAGAACAGAGTTGAGTGTAGAGGGAGCACAGGGCCTGAGGGGCTGGGGGCTCAGAAAATGGCGTTAAAGCTGGGAAGAGGACTCTTGTGGGAAGAGGTGGTGCCCTCACTCCCAGACGTGAACGCAGAGCCCCGTAGGCTGCTCAGTCCTGCTCGCCCTGCCTCAGTTCTCCCTCCAGACCCAGCTCCTCAGCTTCCCCTTAGCCCCAGAGCCCCCTTCTCCACCCCTCCCCATGCACATCAGCAGGGTCTCTGCAGCACCCTCTTACCTGTGGCACCTGGGGAGGCCTTGAGCACCCAGAGGAGGCCGAGGAACCCGAGGAGCTGCATGGTCTTGGTGGACAGGGTCGGCCGGGGGGTTCGGTGCCAGCAGTGAGGCGGCAGCAGATGGCCACGGGTATTCACAGCAACCCCAGTTTCAACCAAACGTCAAAGTCGTGGTTATCTCCCCTGCAAGGTGTAGGAGTTCAGCATACCTTCACCTTTGTACCACCCCACTTCACCCCTCTTCCTCATTCCCCCTGAGTCTGGACTTCAGCTGTGAGAAGGCAGGACACTGAGAAGCAAAGATAGGACAAGCCCAGGAGGTATCAGGCAGGGACAGCTATTAATCACCCAACCCCCCAGCCTGCTGGCCTGTAGGATGCAGCTCCTGTTGTTAGTTCCTCCCCCCAGGAACTGGCAACGCTGGCTGAGAACACACTTGGCCTTGGACTCTGGAGTCCGGGTGCTGCTGTCACAGCCTTAGTTCCACCTGGGGGTAAGAATCTCACTCTTCCTTTCCTCCAGCTTGTCATTAGCAAGACTCTGGGGCGCTGACCTCGCAGCCAGACAGAGCTGTGAGAGCAACACAGCATTTAGGCAGAAGTCATTTTAATAACTGCAAAGTCAAGAAGGGTCCCTGGAAAGAAAATAGGGATGGTCCATTAAGACTGGGCCATCTACTTCTGTAGAGATACTGCCTCAGAAACCCAAGGAGGGATCGCTATGAGTCGAAATCGACTTGACTACAGTGAGTCCGGTTTGTTGTTGTTGTTGTTGTTTATTGGGAACTATTTAAAAGTTTAATTCCATCAGGTATTGTCAAAGATGTAAAGAAGAAACATCCAGAATGGAAGTGTATGTGGGTTGGGTGGCTTTAAAAAGGCAATTTTGTGGCATCTATTCGAATTTTAAATGCACACCCAAACCCAAAAGCAAAGCCAGTGCCTTCTAGTCAGTTCTGACTCATAGTGACCCAATAGGACAGAGTGGAACTACCCCATAGGCTTTCCAAGGCTATAGATCTTTACAGAAGCAGACTGCCACATCTGTCTTTCTCCCATGGAGCGACTGGTGGGTTTGAACCATTGACCTTTTGGTTAGCAGCCAAGCACTGAACCAGTGCACCACCAGTGCCCCTAAGGAGATGGACAAGTATGACTGCTGGCGCCCTCCCGCTGCCACCCTCGACTCTTCTGCTCCCATGCCGAGGCCCAGCCTTTGTAGAAAAGCTGGAGGGGGTAGAAGGGAAGAGACACAGTAGCAAGCACCTTATCTCCGTGCTATGTCGGGATTGGGAAGCATTGCTGTTAAGTGTCAGATAGAATCTTTCTTTAAGCTGCCCACATACAATAGAGACCCAGAGGTGGCTCCAGAAGTGAATATGGACCCAGCCTCCTGCTGGAGTTTGAGGTGGACACGAGGGCTGCTAGGAAGAAGGCGAGAGGTAGGAAGCCATGAGAGGACTGGGAGCAAGGGAAGGATTGGCCTAGTCCTCAGGGGCCAACCACCAGTGGACTTCTTCCTGGTTCCTCATTCCACAGACCAGGCAACACTAAAGTCGGCTCCACAGGAGGTCAATGAAGAACACTGACCTCTCTCCAAGGTCCCTCTATTGTCACAGTTACCTGGGAGAAGATTGAACCGAAGAAAGTATAGGATTAGGGGCAAAGCACTGAAGATAGGGCCAGGGAACCTGGATCATTGGGTTGGACTGGGGAGATGATGCAGAGCTGGGCACAGAGACAGGGGAAGAGGAGGACGACATTGCATTTAAGTCAGTCCCACATACGTGCATGGTCAGATTTTACTGTTATGGGTGCTTGAGGAAGGCCAATAAATAGAACCCTTTTCCCCGTCTGACTTTTGAATCATTTGAGAAATAACATTACACAGCAGGGTTGATGTGAGACTAAAATATCATCTTTATTACCTAGAAAGCTGGTGTAGAGGTTGAGTTGTATCTCAGGTAATTGAGATTTCTAATACCGACCACATAATTAACAAACTTATCCACTGAGTGGTAAGTGGTGTTGAACCAGGGCCTCCTCACAAGGTAGTTTGTCCCTGAAAACTTATAATATGAAAGAGCAGAGAACAATACCTGTGTTGGGCTACAGGTCTAGCTGTGCACTTCCAGTTTTTGTTTCTAAACTCACCCAATGGAACAGGTCACTCTTACCTTGAGGATTGAGGTGATGGAAGAAGTTGGGAGTGTTAGGTCAAGGTACTTGCTGTCCCACTCCTCTGTGTAATTACAGGAATTGGGGTTGCGTTTGCCACTGGTGCTGTCAGGTGGTGGAAGGCAAGGCGCTGGCCAGAGTGATCTCTGAAGTCGTGTGATGGGAGGAAGAAGGTGTTGCACATTTATGTTGCCTCAAAATTCCAAGCCATCTCTAATTTAGCAGAGAAAGGACACAAACACAAAAAGGATAGACAGGAAGAGGTCCTCAGATGAGGCTGGAGGGGGTCCCCACTTGAAGCTTCCTATCTCCAAAGACGCCGTGTCCCCAGAGATGCAAGGCAGCGTGTTGGCTGCCAACAGTCATCTGGCAAGCAATCCGATCCTCACATTCATGGCGTCCAGCCTCAACCTGAGCAGCTAATTCAGACAAGCAATTAATCCTTGCTCTAATTAATTTTGTGTCTTTCAAATAGCTCCTCCAAAAATTTCAACATTTATCACCCAGGCTGACATCTCCTGAGACAAAGATTAAGAGGTTTCCACCATACACTTTAGAAATGCCATGGTCTAACTTGAAAACCCCCCGCTTGGCGTGCCTTATCTGTGTTGCACACATGAGTTGCCCCAAAACTCCAAGCAGCCATGAATCTGCTAGGATGAGGATTTTGCCCATGGAGTCCTCTACTGCTCCATGGGTGTTATGTCCAACTAGTCTGATCGAGGCACACACACACATGGAGTGCTCACCAAGTGTTGGCAAATGAAAGCCATTATTTATCCAAAGAACATGGACCAAAGTAACCATCCAGAAATCAAAGTCCAAAATAACCATACAGGATTGAAGATCGAAGTAACCATCCAGAAGCCCTAACCCATTTATCTTTCCTCCTCCAAAACCTCATGCTTCCCTGAGTCAGGAAATGGCATTGGATCCCACTTTTATTGACACCAATTTGTGGTAGCAAAACAGTCCAAGAAGATCTTAGCTTGCCTTTCTTGGTTAGTTCAGACTTCAGCTGCTCCATTCAGCCATTTCTCTCACCTGGGGCTGTCAGTGGGTGCTAGGTGCAAGTTAGGGAGCTCACATGACTCACCCTACTCCAGACCAGTTGACGTTAGAGAGTTCATACGGCTTCCCCCTACATTAAAACGGCCAGCCCCACTACTTCCATGATGTTGCTGTTAGGTGCCATCGAGTCAACTTTAAATTCATTGTGACCTCATGTGGCCAAGTAGAACTGTCCCATAGAGTTTCCTATTATGTAATCTTTATGGGAGCAGATTGTCAGATCTTCCTCCCAGAGAGCCACTGAGTGGGTTCGAACTACCAACCTTTCAGTTAGCAGCTGAGGGCTTAACCATTGCTTCACCAGGCCTCCACACTATTTCTTTAGGTCTGATAATTGGTTGCAGCAACTCACCAACTTCTGGAAAAGGACTATTTTCTTTAATTTAGTAGAGGAAGAATACAAACACTAAAAGGTTACACACCAAGAGATGCACAGGTGAGGTAGGGAGGAGGTCTCTGCATGGAGCTTCCTGTCTCCAGAGACAATATCATGCATCCAGAGGTATGTGGTCCTCCCATATCAATCCAAAACTCCAAGGACTTTCCACATCCCAGGCCTTTTCTGACTTACGGATAATCAGTGATTAGGGCCTCATTGTATATGTGTGATGGGTGGACCCAATAAATATGCATGATTGAATCATGCCCTCTTCTCTTTTTCTGAAATTATTTCTAAGTATGGTATTTGGGACTCCCACCACATTTGCACATAAAGTCACACCTCCAGCCCACCCCACTGCTATTGAGTCAATTCAGACTTCTAGGACAGGATAGGACTACCCCATAGGGTTTCCAGTAAGAGCTCTGGTGGTGCAGTGCCTAAGGCTAACCAGAAGGTTGTTAGTTCAAACTCAGCAGCCACTCCACGGAAGGAAGATGGAGCCATCTACTTCCGAAAAGATTTACCGCCTCAGAAAAACAATGGGGCTTGCTGTGTTGCTGTGAGTTGGAATCAGCTCAATGGCGGTGGGTTTGTTTAGATAGATAGGTAGATAGATAGATAAAGATGAGATAGATTTAGAGAGATATATGGAAGATGTGGCAATCTACTTCCATAGTGATACTGCCTCAGAAACCCAAGGAGGGGGTCACTATGAGTCAGGTCTGACTCGATGGCACATAACAACAACAACAACAACATGGTTTCCAAGGCTGTAAATCTTTATGGGAGCAAACTGTTACAACTATCTCCTGTGCAGTGGCTGGTGGGTTCAAACCACCAACATTTTGGTTAAGTAACTGAGCATTTTAATCACAGCACCACCAGGGCTTCTTAAGGGACCTCCAGTGCTGGCAAATTCCAAGGGTTAGTTTTAGGAGCACAAAGACAAAAGCCAGGGTGAGTTCTTCAACCCACAGGTAGCATGCACTGATTTGCTTGATGGCAAATGAAAAGCTGGTACTTGGCTTCCAAACATGTGGAGGCCGTGAGGGCTGGTGCATCAGTCTGGAGATGCTGGATTGTCCTAAAGTAAAGAACTTCCAAGTCTCAGGGATTACAAGAGCAGAGGCTTCTTTCTCCTTCATGCTTCTTGTCCACTGCATCACTTGTGCTTTCTTCCAGGTCATCTTCACTCTGGAACCAGGTTGATGGAGTAGCCCTATCTGGGACACTGCCAGTCTAACAGCAGTGGGAAAAGACAGAAGGCAAAGGATTGGGTTTGTCTCTGAAAACTTATTTCCAGAGATGACATGCACCCTTCCATCCATGTTTTAGTGGCCAAAGCAAGTCACATGCTCTCCCAGCAGGAAGAGGCCCTGCAAATCTGCAGGTCAAGCCCGATATCAGTGGGGTGGGGAGATATAATTCATCCC